CACGCGGAGAAAGCGTGTGCTAATAGGATGAGGTGGGTGAGACTAGGAGTCAGTGGATTGGACTGTTTGGCCCCAGCAGACCTGCCAAGCACAATTAACACCATGTGACCCAGTCATAAACGGGGAGAAGGAGAGAGGCAAGTCTATCGATGTCTGCGGCTAGAGAGCAAAACGGCTGAGATGTAATGGGATAGACGAAACAGTGACATTCCTGTTGCCTCAGAGGACATCGCCTGTCTGGAGAAATTACAAAAACCTAAACACACAAAGATGCATTTAAATGAAATTTCATAATTATGATAGAGTTTGTTACAAAACTGTTGACAAGCCTTAATTTGAACAAATGCAATGGTTCTCAAACTGTGGTATCACAGTTGGCATGCTGGCTGTCTTTTTAATCAGAAGAATCACTGGCAAATGTTATTTGCAAGTTAAATTCAGTCTGATGTAGACCTAATAACCCTGAACAGACAGACAAATGAAATGCTAAAATATATTTTCAACCAAAGCTTTTAAAGAGATGGAAATTTGTAAATTCCCAGTATGAACTGAAATGGATGACAGGTAACAAGTGACAAACAAAACTTTGAGAATCAATTAAATAGTATAAGTTAGTGTCTTGATGTTGGTTTTTGTTGGTTCATGTTTAATTGGCTTAGATTTTATCAGGAATAGAAAATAATCAGCTGGAAATTCTCAGAATGTTAATTAACATCATGCTGTTGCTCTCTCAAATTAAATGATTCGTTATGACATCCCAAGTCTCTTGGAAATGTTACCATTAGTGACCGTTTCTTTTCTCTTCCCAGATATTGCAATTATAATTTTGCTACTAATTTTGCCACTTAAAAACACAAAGCAAACCCTAATCTTTGGTTACAAAATTTTGACATATCTGAAGAGTAGGCCTTTTTTAAGTAACCTGTTACTCAGTGTTTTTATACCTAGATGTTAAAAATAAAGTTATTTTACAGATGAGCAATAGAACATAATCAACTGTGCACTTTCTTTTTTTTTAAAAAAAAGAGGTAAAGTTGCACAAAAGGTTTTGACCTTAAACATATTTTCGAATTGACATCAATTGAAAAAGTAACCGCATGATAAACCTGATCCTCTTTATTTTGATTTCAGAAATTATTAATAAGCGTTACTTTAAAAAAAATTATCAGGCTGAATATTTAGTTTTTTACCACACTGTTTTCCATTTTCAAACAGTAAATACAATTATACACTATTTTTCACAGTAAGAAGCTTAATATTGTGGCTCTATGAAGGTCTATTAGAAAGGCAAAGTGGTGAATAGCATTTTTTACATTTACTAAAGAAAGAAATAACATCTTTCAAAGGAACAAATATCTTTAAAAATGTTGGGTAAATAAATATAAATCAGGTTTAAATCTAAGTAAGGGTCATAAAGTTATCAGAATTCTATTAAGAAACCACATTTTTCCTAATTTATAGTCTACACACGCAATCATATTTTTTCATAATGATCTTTACAAGCGCACTACAGGAAAGCAGGCTGTAGCCCAGAAAGCACAATATCCTAATTCCTCCCGTCTGCTATCCTTTTCTGACAAATTCATCTCGCAGTGAACAATGTGGAGATTTAAAGTTGGAAACAAGTGTTTTTAAGGGTTTTCCATGTTTTTCTCACCCGTACACTAGGAATATGCTTTTCAAAAATGGGTAATAGTCACATTTTCTGTCCAAAAAGAGTCTCCATCTGAACTAATTGTACATTTCACCAGCTGACTGCTGGAAAATTAACAGAAGTCATCAGGAAGCTAACATTAGCCAAGTTAGCAGTCACCTGTTGAGCCTCTCCTAAAGTCAATAAGCAGCATCAATTGTAGTCTCCCGAGACGGTTTTTATAACTCAAAGTTATAAAGAAGTTGTGGAACATACACTTGCTTTCATACGCAAGGGTTTCCCAGCGTTATTTGTTCAGCATAAGCCAATTAAAACCAACGAATCACCCAACTAACCTTGTTTTTCAAATAAAGGCGCAGCTAAGACGCTAGCGTTACTTTGCTAATCGCTAACCAGGAAAGACTTAACTAAGGATCTAATTTAGTGGCGTTCTTCACACATCAAGTTGCAGAAAAAGATTAAAGATGTACAATTCTTGCCCAGACACTTATACAACCCAAACATTGCACAGTGCGACAAACAGATGCAACATATAGTGTTAAGTTGGCTGTGATTAGCTGTTAGCCTGTTAGCACCAAAGCGGTAGAATGTGTTAGAAGGTCCGCTAAGAGGAAACAACGGGACTTCATCCACCTGATCCCGCTGTGGCAGCTGCTCCGCTCCAGATACACTCGCGTTGGTCCAAATCAGCAGCATCCGACAAAAAAGTTTAAACTCAGTGAATCACATCCTCCACACGGACCCGACAGCAGCAAGTGTGCTAAGTTATTGTTGGTTTTGTCCAGTTTTAGTGCATCCACTGGGAACAATCTCTGGCACACAAACCACACATTCCACAGGCTGAATCCCCACAGGGCTCGCTTCAAATTAAAGGGACACTCACTTGTTTTCTCACGCCTGCGTGTGTGTTCCAGCATCAATTTTTTTAACACCATCACACTCAGCAGTAATGTCTGATTAATGGACAAATGCATCAACGGGATATGCTTTCTTTTTTAATGTCAAAATAACTAATAGCTTCCATCGCCTGTGTGGTTTTCCTGTGCCTTGTGAAATATGCCAGAACACATTTGTTTAATAAACACTCGGCTAAAAACAATCAATCATTCATTACACCACGCTGTGGGACTTATATCCATATCTTGGAAATATTGCAACCAGCAGAAGTTGCAAGGTAAACATTTAATTCCAGGCATAAAAGAAACAAGAGCGCAGAACAGCTACTTCTCCACAAGCACCTGCTTACTAAAGTTAAAAAAAAAAAAATCCAGTTTCTCAGTTCACATTAAGTGATGTGAAATGAAGTCAGTAAACCTCGTGTTTTATGAGAAGCCAGTTGCGCTTCCAGTAAATTCTTTAGACAAGAGGCAGAAGTGATCAGTGTCTTTTTTGAATTTAAGAAATATTACTTTTTAAGAGAATATATAAAATATTTAGATTCAGATAATTGTTTATTGGCATCCTTTTTAAAGTTGTGAGAAAAATCTTAAAATAGTAACAGTGGAGTATTACCATGTTAAATAAAAAATAAAATAAAATAAAATAAAAAAACCTGAAAAACCTTTAACATGCAGCGTTTGGCCTGGGGGAGAAATCCTTCATTAAGGAACTATGATTTCAAGTCACAGATTTGTAAATATCTCATAAATCTTATATTAAAATAACAGCAACTCAAGTATTTTTTTAAATAAAAATCTACTTTCTAAGTTTATCTTAAATTTCCAATGATTTTTAAGCAATAATCTAGGGCTTTCTGTTTCCCTGTAGAATACATTTCTTCTTTAAGAACCAGGACTCAGTTGATTGAAATGTGGTACATCTTTGCGACACTGCCTTGAAGCTGTTATTATATGTTCCAATGTCTAAAGGTGAGACAGACCGGACCCAGAAATCACCTGCGAAGTCTAAAAGCCAGGGAAAAGGGTGAGCAACGCTCAGAAACTTTAGGTAAGAAATAATTTCCAAATTAAGAAGAAAAAATTGTATTCCAGAGATCTGTTTAGCAGAAAGTTAGAAGAAAGGGTTAGTGTGATAAAGTACACACCAATCAACCATAACACAAAATTAAAAGGCATTACTATGAGCAGGTCACCGATTTGCCACTAATTTAACTTTGCCCACTCAGGACAAAAAACAGTTTATCTGAGAGTGTTTTATACAGCATGCCATTAATGTACCTTCCTGGTTCTGTGGGATATGGACTGGGTGGTACTGGGTTTATTTCCATAAAAGCCATTATGTCCCAAATGGCGTCTCTCAGGTCTGTATTAGGACCAGTACTTTTTGCACTTTACATTAATAATTTGGGTCAGAATATTATGAACATATTTCTTCATCTCTATGTTGATGATATAAATGTTTCTCATGCAGTCCTGGTTGCCTGAATGTTAAAAATATTTTAAAGAACCACAGAAAACATGACTGAATGTTTGTTTTTGTTTTCAGTTGTTTTATCCCAGGCTATTTAAACTTTCATGTCTTATTTTTTAGATAATTAATCTTGTATGTAAGTAGTAAATGAACTGAATTAACTTTTATTTACCCCTATTTGAGTCATATTAACCACTCAATGGGCTGTTAGATTTGAGATTTACCTATTATAACAAAGATTAATTAAAATACTAATATTTAACTATGAAAAGGGTGTAGTTTAGGTGAAGCCCTCACCTACTATCTCTTCTGTTTTAGGCTGATTGTTTGCAGTCAGCCCCTCTGCGGTCCAGCTGAAGTGAGTGGCTCTACGGTCTCAAAAGGGTTTTAAGGTACAAATGTCATAATGCCTTTGCAGGTCAGAGAGGCCCCCTTCACTGTCCACTTTTAAAGCTCGTCTTAAAACCCATCTATTTTACTTGGCTTTCAACTCCAGCGGGATCTAGTTTTAAATTGTATGTTCTTGTTTTTAAACTGTAAGTTTTTATTTTATTTTATTTTTTTATTGTTATGTTGTGTTTTGATGTACAGCACTTTGTATCAGCTGTGGTTGTTTTAAAGTGCTTTATAAATAAAGTTGGTATGGTATGGTATGGTATCATGTGCATGTCTGCATTTCTTTAATGAAAAAACATCAGGCCGAGCACTTTAACGCCCATTGCTCATTAAGTTATGGCTGAGTGGCTTAGTGTAAGACATTTCAGGTAGTTTGTGGTGGGTGGGCCCAAGTGCTTGGCAGTTTTTTTTTGTTTTTTTTTCCGTGTGCCCCAGCACACCACTACATTGGTAAATGAGCATGCATGCAGCAGAGCTATAATTGGATGCGAGGTTGTCTGTGAGCGTAGCACCTGCACACTTGTGTGAGGCGGTGAGCAAGCGTGGGCGCATGTACATCTGTGACTGCGGTGTTACTCACTCATGCACTGCATTCCATGCTTTTTCAGCAGACTCTTGCTGCACAGTGAGCAGGTGGCGGAGCTGGAGAAGGAGCCTGGCACTAAATGATGCCCGTTGCTGCGGGTCCTGCACACTTTCTCTTTCTCTTTGTCCCTCTCCTTCGCCCTCTCCCTCTGCAGCTCTTTTTCTCGGTTCTTACCCTGGAGAGAGAAAAAAAAAAAAGAGAGAGAGAAGCAAACCCACAGGGCGGTTTTTAAATGCAAATGTTGTGTGTTCTCCTTCATCACTGCGCATGCTGCGCGTTTTGCGCGGCCGTGTGTCAGGATATACAATAGGGTTTGTGTAAGAAGATTACTTGTATGCATGTGGCACTCACATGCATACATGTGAGTGCCACATGCATACAAGTAAAGTGTTTACATGTCAAGATTTGGTTTCATAAACTGAGCTGCTGGACAACAAATAAAAGTGACTTGCTGGAATATGTTGATGCATTGAGACCAATGCAGGTCATGCACCACTCATCTGAGGCGTTGTTTACCTTATCTTTATTGAAGGAGCCTGTCACCCTGCTCCTCAGGGAGCTGAGGGTCCTTTTCACCTTTGTTCCTTTCTCAACCTTCTCTGCTCTGTCTTCCTCTTCCTCGTTCCTGGAGAAAGAAGAAAGCATCCTGTGTACAAATCAAAATAAGTCAAAAATCTCTTAACCTGCATGAAATTTAGTTTTCCAGGTGTTTCATTTGATAAGCTAAACAATAAATTGATATGTTTCAAACCTTTAATTCTATTTTTTTCTAAGTAAATTCTTTATGAGGGTGGAATTTATAAATATCCTTTTCCAAAAGATCATCTGAATTAACTGAATTCACATGCTGCAGAGAGTTTTAATTATTCTGAGACAAATCTCAAATGTTTTCCATCTTTTATTGTTACAGATCGCAAAATAAGTTAAACCGCAGGCTTTTGACATATTGTACAGTAATGACTGAAACCTTTTGTGGTTAACTGAATTCACATGCTGTAGATATTTTTTTTTTCTGTGCTTTCTGCAAAATGCCACTGGCATGCAAGTGAAGTCAAGTCAAAGTTTATTTACGTAGCACATTCAGAACAACCTCATCTGACCAAAGTGCTTCACAACAAAAGCACTTTGTTGTGCTTTTGAAAATTTGTCTTGGTTTCGATCGAACTTTTGTGGCTTTTTGTCAGCCTTACTGACCCTGTTGTTTTTCATTTTAAGAGTTCTTGCAAGCTAAAGTTAAAATTGCTGTTGATTATTTACATTACATTTATATTACATTTTTCTGTGCGTATTCTGTTCTCATAATCTAGATAAGATGGGACTGGTTGCTGTGTCAGTGGCAGAATTGCCTTACTAGACCATGCAGGTTGTTCCAAGAGTTGCACAGTTTACTTTCTTCAATTAATGTTGCAGCAGGCCACATCTGGCTCAGGCAGAAAATTAGAAAGTTTACAACCATTATAAAAAAGACTAATGTGTCAAGGACAGAGAAAACAAGAACACAGGAAGTGGTGTAACTAGGGAAATGACAATAACTGCAAACAAAACGAAACAAAAATTATAAATGGAGTGGCCCAGCCAATAAAGATAGAACAAGTTTCGGTAACACTTTAATTGAAGGGGGTGAATAAGACTGTCATGACACTGTCATAAACATGTCATAACACCTGTCATGAACATGAATAAGCCTTCATGAATATTTATGACTGTTGTCATAAAGCATCATTTGGTAAATTACGACACTTTTAATACGAAGTTGACATTATTCAAAATGTCTTTGTTATGACAACTTGACATTAACTAAGAAATCATTACTGTTCAAATTTTACCTTTAATAACATAAAGTTACCTAATTTTTAAAGTGCAATCATTAATTCTTTTATAACAAATTTATATCAGTAATGATTTCTTGGTTAATGTCAAGTTGTCATAACAAAGACATTTTGAATAATGTCAACTTTGTATTAAAAGTGTCATAATTTACCGAATGACGCTTTGACAACAGTCATAAATATTCATGAAGGCTTATTCATGTTCATGACAGGTGTTTAAGACAGTGTCATGTCAATCTTATTCACCCCCCTTCAAATAAAGTGTTACCCAAATTTCTTAGTTCAATGAAAATAATTTCAAACCTAAATCTGCCAGGGGTGCGAATATTTTGTATTTGTTTGCTTGAAAGTGTTCATAAAAGGGGAGAAGTTTAAATGATCAATATAATGTTGGACAAAAAGTTTAAGTATCTATTTATTACAAACTTTGCATCCACAGAATTTGCAACATGCGATATTTGAAAATAAATTCAATAACAGACATCGCTTGGAAAGAAAGATACATTGTCATTGCTGAATGTGCAATGGTAAACTGTTGCACTTACGCATTGGAGAGGAACTCGTACCAAGTGACACTTCCTGAATCCTTGGTGTCTGGACTGCTGTTGTTTCTGTGCTTCACTCTGTGAAGGGCAGTTAGAAAACTTCATGCAGCGAGAGAATCCATTTAAGCAGAACGCAGGTCCAAATATAAACCTCAAATGACCGTAAAGGATGAGCATGTCAAAGCCAGAGTTTATAGAAACAAGAAAAACAAGCACAGTCCGACAGCATGAGCTGATTTATATTGCCGTGAACTTTTAGGAGCCAATCATCTCACTTTCTGTGCTCTGCAGATCCTTCCCAGCCACGGTGACGTACCGTTTGTGACAGTGACCAGGACAGACACATGCAACCCCATGTGCAAAAATCATGCATACACAAATAGTGTAATTTGTAAACACTCCCTGGTGAAGACCCAAACTCTGCCGCCACAGTCTTCATTAGAACAGCAGCTAAAGCGTGCAGGCCTCCCTCTCCTGTTTACTTACCCATAGTACAGCTTTAGCTCCTGCAGAACTTTCTGTACCATCAGCCTAAGACAAATAAAACACTGACACTGAGTGGAGGGGGGAGAGGGAAGAACCAGTCTGCTGGGAACTGACTCTGAAACCGTAAAGTGAAGGACAATCCTCCTTCATCTGCCGCATCCATGAAATCACCAGAGTACAACCATTTATTACATAAAGACACAGTCAGTCAGCAAAGGGGCCATCTTGGCAGCTGAAGGAGCGTGAGCTGTGGGAGGGGGAAACTGCAGACGTCTGATATGGAGCAGAAATGTCAGGGGAGAATGGGGAAAGCCCCTTTGTTATGTGGGAGTTAGGTAACCGTAACAGGCCATTTACAACTACAGAGCAGAATCTGCATGAACCGCTCAAGAGTTGCAGCGTCTTCCACTCCTTCAAGCTTCATTAAACTCATACTACTGTTACTTCGACAGAATCATATTCTTGGAAAGGTATTCAGCTGCGTTGTTGCACTTACATATGGCTTTGTCCCTCTGATGAGTGCAGGTTTTCTTCTGGGTCAAACTCCTCTGCCACTGCAGAGAAAAAGTCGAATAGATCTACTGTGAAAAGAGGTGAAGCATGAATCAACTACACATGAAGAAAGCATGTGTTTTTGCCCCCCACCTCCTGCTGCCCTGGCGGCCTGTTTGGAGGTCTGCACGACGCGGGAAATGTGCGCCGCTCGGGAATATTCATCGGTGGCAAGGATGTCCGATCGAGAGTACAGCTGCCTGCCTGGTCCACCGGTGACCTGAAAGAGGAATAAGCGGGCATGGGCGTTGAACGCACATCTGATCTGTTTTACATCCACTTCCCAGTTTACAGCAGGTGCTGTATTGAGATTAATTGTGCTTACAGTGGCCTTTATTAGCTGCTAATCTGCAGAGTATTTAGTCGTTTTTGGGCTCTGTAGCGAGGAAGCTCTCTGTAGTTTGGCACAATGCTCCAAATGAATCATTTCCCTCTAACTGTGGACTTATTTGGTATCAAATCCAGTGTTCCAGTCATCCCTTTTTCCTCTTTTCTCTTAAAAAGTGCATATAATGTTTTATCACAAGGGAGGGTTTTATGGAAAAGCTTTAAATTGAGGAACAAGCCACTAAAACAAGAATTCATTTATAACGATGCCTGGCAATTAACAAAGGCCAAGTGAGTTTTGAACGGTAATTTAAGACAGGATGCCAGATTACGAGCCAGAAAGCTGGAGGCTCCGAAAGCACAGGGTCTATTAGCTTTTATTAAGTTGCAATTGTAATGTGTAAGATGTGCAAGATGCTGGATGATCTCATTCAGTGAACTGCTGCATAAAATCCTGTAATAGCACATGGATCTTTGAATGATTGACCCTTTAGGATTTAATGAAACTGATAAAATATATATAAAAAAAACTATTTTCAGGGATGATGATGATGATGGTGATGATAGGCAGTTTCAGTTTTGTTTCTTTATGTCGAAAAGAAGTGCTAAGATTTTATTTTGAAATAAAAATCTAATAATTATTTTTCAAACTAAAAGAAATTTGAAGATTTTATTTCTCAAAGTGCCGTTACAGTGCCATCACAAAGTACAAAGTATTCACACTCTTTTTCTTTTTCCACATTCTGTCATTTTATAGATTTCTCTAAAATAGATGGTCATGTTTTGTAATTAGGAAACAGCAGCTTGTTTAGAAAGGTGCTTAATTTTGTATTGCTGAAACGCCTCTGACAATATTCACAGCCTCTTGTCTCTCACATGCTTGGCACCACTATTTTTGAGTACTTCTGTCATCATTTCTGAGCTTTCTGCCATGACTTTCAGATGATGGGTTATTGGATTGTGCATGTTGTATATAATCTCTCAGCTCTCTGCAAACATTTCTGTCTCTCCAGGCCAAGCTTTTCATAATCTGGATCTCCTGTCTCAGCTGGATTCTAAGACTCTGTGTCTCCCACACTCCTGGTAAACTCCATTATTTCTGTTTACCTCCTGGTTCCCATCCAATCATGCCACTCATCTGTTTCTGTCTTCCAGACCATCCAAAAGTTTGCAGAGTCAATAGCAGCAGGCTTCCACTGTGGGCATCAGACTCAACTAAAACCCAAAACATGTCCAACTTTTCACACTCCAGCCAGATTTTTACAGGACACACAGGATCCAACATGATCCGCCAATGTAAACGCAAGACAAACCGGCAGTAAACAGAAAGCTGCTCGAACCAGATTGGTTTTTCATTCTTTCATTTGTTTTATATACTTCTTAGATCTTACCAAGTATGTTGGGTTTTTTTTGTGAGTGAAAGATTTTGTTTTGTATATTCCCAAAAGTAGATCATCATCAGTCAGCCATCAGAGTAGATGTTGGTGTCAGGCATTGGAGTGGGAAGCGGCTACATGAGCTGTGTTTTGGGGAAACTGCAGTTGGTGATTTTATCGAGGAACTATGAATTCAATGTGTTTGAATAACAGACAGACAACTTGCTATGAACTGTTCAATCCTGTGAGAGCTCTAGTGGAGCCAGCTGCACATTGTCCGAAACAAACAAAAGCGAACCGTCACCGTCCTTCTTCTTCCTGTCGTCTTCTTCATCGTTTTTGCCAGTAGTAACATCCGGCTGTTGATCATATGATGTTTTTTTTACATCATGTGATGTAAAAAAAAAAAAAAAAAAAAAAAAAAAAAATTTTTATACGGTTGAAAAACCACCTTTTTAAAAACAAAAAACT